ACATGTTGTTTGCACATTATGTTTACATATTAACATGTTGTTTGCACATTATGTTTACATATTAACATGTTGTTTGCACATTATGTTTACATAACATATTAATATGTGTTAATATATAATACTTTTGTGAGAAAATAACTATTTTGAGTGAGCAGCATGTTGAAACTGATGACTGCGTCTATGGGGTGGGCCGATGGGTGGAATGAAAATAGGCTAATTAGGTGAAACATCGGTGTTTGCAAAGGGTGCGTGGTCAGGCGGGCTTGCATCTCGTCAAGCTGCGAAATGCAAACACTTAAGCTTAATTTAAAGCTCATGAGGCCGTGACAGAGGCCGGGGGGGGGGGGCGGTGACCCCCCTTCTCCCATGAACGACACCAAGGAAGCCGCCAGGGGAGGTATTGTGGCGATTCTAACTTGTGGAGATATTACTGGCGGTGGTACCAGCGACCCGTGAGGACTGTGTACCGCCACGGGATATATGTATATATATATATGTCGTACCTAGTAGCCAGAATGCACTTCTCAGCCTACTATGCAAGGCCCGATTTGCCTAATAAGGCAAGTTTTCATGAATTAATATATTTTCTCAAATTTTTTTCTTATGAAATGATAAAGCTACTTATTTCATTATGTATGAGGTCAATTTTGTTTTATTGTAGTTAAAATTAACGTAGATATATGACCGAACCTAACCAACCCTACCTAACCTAACCTAACCTATTTTTATAGGTTAGGTTGGGTTAGGTAACCAAAAAAGGTAGGTTAGGTTAGGTTAGGTAGGTTAGGTCATCGAAAAAACATTAATTCATGAAAACTTGGCTTATTAGGCAAATTGGGCCTTGCATAGCAGGCTGAAAAGTGCGTTCTGGCTACTAGGTACGACATATATATATATATATATATATATACCCGCCTGGACCATCGGACCCTAAGTATTGGTGTTGCTCTGCGCCTTGCCGCCCCTATCTCCACCGAGCACCGGTGTATTTGCGGCCATGCACGGGCAGACCAATACGGCAGCCATGGTCTCATCTGTCGTAAGACACAGGGAAAGATTGCCAGACATGAAGCAGTCAATGACATCATCAAGAGAAGTTTGGCTTCAGCTGGGTGCCCAGCACAAAGGGAACCTCAGTTGTGCAGGCCTGACAACAGCCAAAAACGCCCAGATGGAGTCACCCTGCAGCCGTGGAGAGAAGGTAAACAGGTCGTGTGGGACTACACGTGTGCATCCACATTGGCTGATACCTATCTACCTTACAGCGCAGCTGAGGGAGGCGGGGCGGCCACCTTCAGGGAGACCCAGAAAACTAACAAGTACAGGGACCTAGAACGTTGTTACAGGTTCGTGCCAATAGGCTCTGAGACTCTGGGCGCCTGGGGTAAATGTGCACTTAAGTTCCTGAAGGAGCTGGGCGAGGAACTCATTGGGAAGACTAGAGACCCAAGAGCGGCCAGTTTTATGTTCCAGCGCCTTAGTGTCGCTGTTCAGAGGGGAAATGCGTGTTGTATCTTGGGTACGCACCCGACCCCCGAGGAACTGGACGAGGTCTTCGAACACTGATTGTTATATTGTTATATAAGTGTTTGTTTTCTGTAAACTATATATATATATATATATATATATATATATATATATATATATATATATGACAATGTCAGACCACGGAGGAAAAATGAAACAGGAAATTTCCTTAAGTACTTTCGTATATTAAATACATCTTCAGAAGGTCATTTTACAGATCGAGTGATGGGTATAAATAGGCAGGAAGGAGTGGTGAAGTAAGGTGAGGTACAATACTTGGACAACGCAGAAGGCCCATAGGCCCATCTGATGCACCCAATTGGCACATCCGATGTAGCACAATGGCCCATCTGATACAGCAGACATACAAGCATAATATATAGGTAATTATAACATAAAGAAGTAAATATATACAATAAATTAGTGAGACAAATGTTTTTCAATGATTCTACTTAAATCGCCTTTTAGCTGATCTATTAGAAATGGATCTAAGTTATATAGACCACTGCTAATATTCAAATTACTTTCTTTGGTGATCTGTATCAAAGCAGATTCAATTATGTTTCTGTTATAGGTGCTTTTACAATTTGTTATTGAAGAAGCACTCTCCCAATCAATTTGGTGAGCTTTTTCTGACAAATGCACAAACAAAGCATTAGACATTTGGCCATGTTTTACAGAGTATTTATGTTGCGATATTCTACATTTTAAATCTTTAGATGTTTGCCCGACATAGAACTTATTACATTCCTTACACGGTATTTTATAAATGACGTGATATATAAATCACTACTATAAATGAGTAGTGATAATTGCGTCATTTATAAAATACCGTGTAAGGAATGTAATAAGTTCTATGTCGGGCAAACATCTAAAGATTTAAAATGTAGAATATCGCAACATAAATACTCTGTAAAACATGGCCAAATGTCTAATGCTTTGTTTGTGCATTTGTCAGAAAAAGCTCACCAAATTGATTGGGAGAGTGCTTCTTCAATAACAAATTGTAAAAGCACCTATAACAGAAACATAATTGAATCTGCTTTGATACAGATCACCAAAGAAAGTAATTTGAATATTAGCAGTGGTCTATATAACTTAGATCCATTTCTAATAGATCAGCTAAAAGGCGATTTAAGTAGAATCATTGAAAAACATTTGTCTCACTAATTTATTGTATATATTTACTTCTTTATGTTATAATTACCTATATATTATGCTTGTATGTCTGCTGTATCAGATGGGCCATTGTGCTACATTGGATGTGCCAATTGGGTGCATCAGATGGGCCTATGGGCCTTCTGCGTTGTCCAAGTATTGTACCTCACCTTACTTCACCACTCCTTCCTGCCTATTTATACCCATCACTCGATCTGTAAAATGACCTTCTGAAGATGTATTTAATATACGAAAGTACTTAAGGAAATTTCCTGTTTCATTTTTCCTCCGTGGTCTGACATTGTCACATTCTTAATCACGTGTTTATTTTCGTGATATACACACATATATATATATATATATATATATATATATATATATATATATATATATATATATATATATATATATATATATATGTATATATATATATATGTATATATATATGTATATATATATATATATATATATATATATATATATATATATATATATATATATATATATATATATATATGCATGCATTTTATTCTGTCCTCCATGGACAGGGGTTAGAGATCTGTGAAGCACATAGTTCAGGGATTTATTGAGCAATCAATCACAGAAGAGGATTGTATTGCTTTTAAAATGCTAATCTAACCTACATACATAAATACACAGATTTACGTCTGTCCTACGTAAACAGTGTTCATGGTGTCAGTTTTTACATTAATGTGCGTTTACAAAGGTGAAATGCACTCTTGCCCAGCTCTCACAGACACATGTACACATATATGTCTCCTACTCTGACAGGGTGAGATAGCTGCTATGGAAACTAGTGTATTATTAAGCACTTAGAACCACTGAAGGTGATAAGATGCTTTTATAAGCTCAGGTTATAGTTACATCACATACACTGTGTAACTAATGCATTACATAGTCAATCTCAGGTACAAGTCCCGTATATCATCAAGTGTTCCAGTATTCATATAGAATTTACAGAGGTCAGCATACCTCAGCCCAGGAGGGTGAAAGTCAGTTGATACGGGACATGGAAGGTTGTGTACAAGGTAACATTGTATACCATATATCTTTGACTTGCAGCAGTCCTCAAAGGGCGTCTTGCATCCTCAGTATAGACAACTGAATTATAAATGGTGATAGTGGTGGTATTCTCTTGTAACTCTATCACCTGCCGTTGTGCCCATCTCTCTTAGTGAGAGGAGAGAGAGAGAGACAGAGACAGAGAGACACACACACAAATCGACAGACTATAAACAGCCAAAAGCCTCGCTGACCATTTAGGTCAGTAGGCAAAGCTGGTGGGTTCTGCCTGTAGGCTACCACCCTACGTACGCATGTACTTTCTTTTCCTAATCATGGCCCACCCTTGCCCTAACCTCATACCAATAAGCATACTGCTAGTCGCAGCAAGACACGACAGAAATAGAGGTAGGCTGAGGACCCCCCCTCCAAGGCCAGCAGTTCCCTAGGACCAGGAAACATGGACAAGGACCAGCAAGGAGGGGTATAGACGTGTGTTAGATGGTACTTGGAGCTTGAGTGGGCAACTTTACCCTTCTTGGTTCTAATCTATGCAAAGTGAAAGTATTCACCAGGTGGCCGTCGTAACCGGTGGTCATTTGAGGAGGGCAACCCTTGACAGTCCGTCTGAAGTTATGAAGGTGCTTTGCATCCAAATGCAAGTGTTTGTTCATTAATGGTGAGGCGTTGGTGGAGGCCGCTGCTGGCCTCGGGGTTGGTGGAGGCCGCTGCTGGCCTCGGCGTTGGTGGAGGCCGCCGCTGGCCTCGGCGTTGGTGGAGGCCGCCGCTGGCCTCGGCGTTGGTGGAGGCCGCCGCTGGCCTCGGCGTTGGTGGAGGCCGCTGCTGGCCTCGGCGTTGGTGGAGGCCGCTGCTGGCCTCGGCGTTGGTGGAGGCCGCCGCTGGCCTCGGTGTTTGTAACACCCAGGACCTCCCCCCCCCTTAGAGTTCACACCCAGGGAAGCCTTCTCCAAGAGGTCAGCCCAGATGACCTCCGGTTTATTTTGTATATTGATTAAAAATTCCTGGGTTAGTCTTAGTCAGCATAGTTTCAAGTATGTAATATTTCATGCAAGGAAAAGGCAGATGGTGGCAGCGTATTTAATCCTTGTGTTAGCATTTCCTTATTGGCAGTGAACCTTTGGTTCCGGTGTAACCATCATATGTGTTTCATAACAGTGTTATCAAGTGCAACCGATGAGGAAGTGTTACTCAGGATAGTTTAGTGTTCCATTATAGTGGTGTTCCATTATAGTGGTACATTTTAGGGTGGTGTTACAATAGAGTTGTGTTACATGTTGGTGGAGGCCGCCGCTGGCCTCGGCGTTGGTGGAGGCCGCCGCTGGCCTCGGCGTTGGTATAGGCCGCCGCTGGCCTCGGCGTTGGTGGAGGCCGCCGCTGGCCTCGGCGTTGGTGGAGGCCGCCGCTGGCCTCGGCGTTGGTGGAGGCCGCCGCTGGCCTCGGCGCTGGTGGAGGCCGCCGCTGGCCTCGGCGTTGGTGGAGGCCGGCTTTGGTGGAGGCCGCTGCTGGCCTCGGCGTTGGTGGAGGCCGCTGCTGGCCTCGGCGTTGGTGGAGGCCGGCGTTGGTGGAGGCCGCTGCTGGCCTCGGCGTTGGTGGAGGCCGGCGTTGGTGGAGGCCACTGCTGGCCTCGGCGTTGGTGGAGGCCGGCGTTGGTGGAGGCCGCTGCTGGCCTCGGCGTTGGTGGAGGCCGGCGTTGGTGGAAGCCGCCGCTGGCCTCGGCGTTGGTGGAGGCCGCTGCTGGCCTCGGCGTTGGTGGAGGCCGCCGCTGGCCTCGGCGATGGTGGAGGCCGCCGCTGGCCTCGGCGTTGGTGGAGGCCGCCGCTGGCCTCGGCGTTGGTGGAGGCCGCCGCTGGCCTCGGCGTTGGTGAAGGCCGCCGCTGGCCTCGGCGTTGGTGGAGGCCGCCGCTGGCCTCGGCGTTGGTGGAGGCCGCCGCTGGCCTCGGCGTTGGTGGAGGCCGCCGCTGGCCTCGGCGTTGGTGGAGGCCGCCGCTGGCCTCGGCGTTGGTGGAGGCCGGCTTTGGTGGAGGCCGCTGCTGGCCTCGGCGTTGGTGGAGGCCGCTGCTGGCCTCGGCGTTGGTGGAGGCCGCCGCTGGCCTCGGCGTTGGTGGAGGCCGCCGCTGGCCTCGGCGTTGGTGGAGGCCGCCGCTGGCCTCAGCGTTGGTGGAGGCCGCCGCTGGCCTCGGTGTTTGTAACACCCAGGACCTCCCCCCCCCTTAGAGTTCACACCCAGGGAAGCCTTCTCCAAGAGGTCAGCCCAGATGACCTCCGGTTTATTTTGTATATTGATTAAAAATTCCTGGGTTAGTCTTAGTCAGCATAGTTTCAAGTATGTAATATTTCATGCAAGGAAAAGGCAGATGGTGGCAGCGTATTTAATCCTTGTGTTAGCATTTCCTTATTGGCAGTGAACCTTTGGTTCCGGTGTAACCATCATATGTGTTTCATAACAGTGTTATCAAGTGCAACCGATGAGGAAGTGTTACTCAGGATAGTTTAGTGTTCCATTATAGTGGTGTTCCATTATAGTGGTACATTTTAGGGTGGTGTTACAATAGAGTTGTGTTACATGTTGGTGGAGGCCGCCGCTGGCCTCGGCGTTGGTGGAGGCCGCCGCTGGCCTCGGCGTTGGTATAGGCCGCCGCTGGCCTCGGCGTTGGTGGAGGCCGCCGCTGGCCTCGGCGTTGGTGGAGGCCGCCGCTGGCCTCGGCGTTGGTGGAGGCCGCCGCTGGCCTCGGCGCTGGTGGAGGCCGCCGCTGGCCTCGGCGTTGGTGGAGGCCGGCTTTGGTGGAGGCCGCTGCTGGCCTCGGCGTTGGTGGAGGCCGCTGCTGGCCTCGGCGTTGGTGGAGGCCGCTGCTGGCCTCGGCGTTGGTGGAGGCCGGCGTTGGTGGAGGCCGCTGCTGGCCTCGGCGTTGGTGGAGGCCGGCGTTGGTGGAGGCCGCTGCTGGCCTCGGCGTTGGTGGAGGCCGGCGTTGGTGGAGGCCGCTGCTGGCCTCGGCGTTGGTGGAGGCCGGCGTTGGTGGAAGCCGCCGCTGGCCTCGGCGTTGGTGGAGGCCGCTGCTGGCCTCGGCGTTGGTGGAGGCCGCCGCTGGCCTCGGCGTTGGTGGAGGCCGCCGCTGGCCTCGGCGTTGGTGGAGGCCGCCGCTGGCCTCGGCGTTGGTGGAGGCCGCCGCTGGCCTCGGCGTTGGTGAAGGCCGCCGCTGGCCTCGGCGTTGGTGGAGGCCGCCGCTGGCCTCGGCGTTGGTGGAGGCCGCCGCTGGCCTCGGCGTTGGTGGAGGCCGCCGCTGGCCTCGGCGTTGGTGGAGGCCGCCGCTGGCCTCGGCGTTGGTGGAGGCCGGCTTTGGTGGAGGCCGCTGCTGGCCTCGGCGTTGGTGGAGGCCGCTGCTGGCCTCGGCGTTGGTGGAGGCCGCCGCTGGCCTCGGCGTTGGTGGAGGCCGCCGCTGGCCTCGGCGTTGGTGGAGGCCGCCGCTGGCCTCAGCGTTGGTGGAGGCCGCCGCTGGCCTCGGTGTTTGTAACACCCAGGACCTCCCCCCCCTTAGAGTTCACACCCAGGGAAGCCTTCTCCAAGAGGTCAGCCCAGATGACCTCCGGTTTATTTTGTATATTGATTAAAAATTCCTGGGTTAGTCTTAGTCAGCATAGTTTCAAGTATGTAATATTTCATGCAAGGAAAAGGCAGATGGTGGCAGCGTATTTAATCCTTGTGTTAGCATTTCCTTATTGGCAGTGTACCTTTGGTTCCGGTGTAACCATCATATGTGTTTCATAACAGTGTTATCAAGTGCAACCGATGAGGAAGTGTTACTCAGGATAGTTTAGTGTTCCATTATAGTGGTGTTCCATTATAGTGGTACATTTTAGGGTGGTGTTACAATAGAGTTGTGTTACATGTTGGTGGAGGCCGCCGCTGGCCTCGGCGTTGGTGGAGGCCGCCGCTGGCCTCGGCGTTGGTGGAGGCCGCCGCTGGCCTCGGCGTTGGTATAGGCCGCCGCTGGCCTCGGCGTTGGTGGAGGCCGCCGCTGGCCTCGGTGTTGGTGGAGGCCGCCACTGGCCTCGGCGTTGGTGGAGGCCACCGCTGGCCTCGGCGTTGGTGGAGGCCGCCGCTGGCCTTGGCGTTGGTGGAGGCCGCCGCTGGCCTCGGCGTTGGTGGAGGCCGGCTTTGGTGGAGGCCGCTGCTGGCCTCGGCGTTGGTGGAGGCCGCTGCTGGCCTCGGCGTTGGTGGAGGCCGCTGCTGGCCTCGGCGTTGGTGGAGGCCGGCGTTGGTGGAGGCCGCTGCTGGCCTCGGCGTTGGTGGAGGCCGGCGTTGGTGGAGGCCGCTGCTGGCCTCGGCGTTGGTGGAGGCCGGCGTTGGTGGAGGCCGCTGCTGGCCTCGGCGTTGGTGGAGGCCGCCGCTGGCCTCGGCGTTGGTGGAGGCCGCCGCTGGCCTCGGCGTTGGTGGAGGCCGCTGCTGGCCTCGGCGTTGGTGGAGGCCGCCGCTGGCCTCGGCGTTGGTGGAGGCCGCCGCTGGCCTCGGCGTTGGTGGAGGCCGCCGCTGGCCTCGGCGTTGGTGGAGGCCGCCGCTGGCCTCGGCGTTGGTGAAGGCCTCCGCTGGCCTCGGCGTTGGTGGAGGCCGCCGCTGGCCTCGGCGTTGGTGGAGGCCGCCGCTGGCCTCGGCGTTGGTGGAGGCCGCCGCTGGCCTCGGCGTTGGTGGAGGCCGCCGCTGGCCTCGGCGTTGGTGGAGGCCGCCGCTGGCCTCGGCGTTGGTGGAGGCCGCCGCTGCCGTGATAAATCACTGGTTCCTTCAGTACGCTACAAACCAATTAGTCTCTGTTGCTTCGGGGGCAAAAAACCCGCTAAATTTAATGCTAATGCAGTAAAAAATATATAATTATCTGGTGATGTCTCACATGAGGTTAAGTTTCCCCAAATTGTTATGAGAATCTGACGTTCCGACTAGTAATGGGAGCCAACAGTTACAAGGATTGATTAGTACAGTCTCGGACGGTTCTTGCAGGCCCTGCGTTCGATCCCCCGATAGTCAGAGTGGTTGAGCACCATTCCTTCATTCCGTTCTATCCCAGTTGCTTGTCCTCGTATCTCTAGTAAGTGCTATTTATGCTGTATGGTTGCTAGGTGTATCCGTAGTGTCGGTTTTCTTTTCCAATAATTACATTACATTGCTGAAAATGTGGATCGTAGGGGGTGACTTGCGAAAGAAAACGGAAGGCCTGGTCATTATTTTCGACTGATTTTTGTATTATGAACTTGTGCAGTTATGGCAACTGTTTTACAATGTTGGTAAAGTTGTAGCAATAGCAAAGGTTTAGCTTCTTAACCAGTTGTTCCCAGATGACAGCTGGAGTGTACTGGCATTTAGAATTGTTTCTATTTCAGCAGCGAGTGTATGGTGTGTGTGTGGGGGGGGGGGGGGAGGGTGTATTCACCTAGTTGTGCTTGAGGGGGTTGAGTTGTGGATCTTTGGGCCCACCTCTCAACTGTCAATCAACTGATATTTTTTTCGGCGCGCGCGCGCACACACACACACACACACACACACACACACACACACACACACACACACACACACACACATACACACATACACACATACACACATACACACATACACACACACATACACACACACACACAGACACACACACACACACACACACACACACACACACACACACACACACACACACACACACACTCCCACACACACACACACACTCCCACACACACACACACACACACACACACACACACACACACACACACACACACACACACACACACACACACACACACACACACACACACACACACACACACACACACACACACACACACACACACACACACACATACACACACACACACATACACACACACACACACACATACACACACACACACACATACACACACACACACACACACACACATACACACACACACACACATACACACACACACACACATACACACACACACACACACACACACACACACACACACACACACACACTTTGTGACACACTATTAACATGGGTTCAGGGATGGCAAATCATGCCTCACAGGATTAATTAAATTCTACGACCAGGCAACAAAAATCAGGCAAGAAAGAGAGGGGTGGGCAGACTTTATATTTTTGGATTGCCAGAAAGCCTTTGACACAGTACCACACAAGAGACTAGTGCAAAAGCTGGAGATGCAGGCAGGAGTGAAAGGGAAGGAACTCCATTGCATAAGGGAGTACCTAATCAACAGAACACAGCTAGTCACTGTGAGGGTAAGGCCTCAGATTATCGAGGCGCCACCAGTGGAGTCCCGCAGGGTTCAGTCCTTGGACCTATACTATTTCTGAAATATGTAAATGATCTCCCAGAGGGTATAGAATCGTTCCTCTCATTGTTTGGTGACGATACAAAAATTACGAGGAGGATTAAGACAGAGGAAGATATATGAGGCTACAAGATGACCTAGATAAACTGAATGGTCCAACAAATGGCTACTAAAGTTCAACCCGAGTAAATGTAAGGAAATGAAACTAGGCAGTGGAAACAGGATGCCGAATGGGAGATGAAGTCCTTCATGAAACGAACAGAAAGATCTAGGAGTTGATATCACACCAAACTTATCTCCTGAAGCTCATATAAAAAGAATAACATCTGCGGTGTATGCGAGGCTGGCTAACATCAGAACTGCCTTCAGGAACCTGTGTAAGGAATCATTCAGAACCTTGTATACCACATATGTAAGACTGTTACGGCATCGACACCATCGCTAGAGTGCAGAGTGGCAATTTCAGCGCCATCTATGAGTCTGTACTCAAACTCCCCTGGTATTGGACTCTATGTGGACAACGTCATCCGTGGTGGCGTGGCAGCGATGAATGGTTCTGGTTTCCTGCCTTAGTCAGACAGAGAGGTCGACGTGGATGACCTCTTGTGGATGGTGTGTAACGATCAGCGCCATCTAGATTGTGCTACGAGCATAATATCAACTCCCCGGTGTACGAGTGTTACCCCCACGGTTTCCCCAGTGTCCTGTTCATCTAATTAATGACGTTTTTATGTCCACAGAAGTGACACTGTGGTGGCAATTGTACTGAGGAAGGCAGTTTACCTTGAGCAGTTCACGAACCCTTAACTTGGTCCCGCAAGAAGACTAAGTTGTCGCCGTCGATCTAAGCAGTGTTAGTGAAGATCGGCGTACCCCGGGATTGGCTATTAAGGGTTACAGTGATGTGCCTAGCGTGAAGTGCTGCTAGCAAGCTGCTAGAGGCTTCTGCCAGGGGTTAGCTACCCCTGTATGAGTTTGTTTGGGACCCCTGTCAGCGTGTTGCTGAAGCTCTCTGCCAGTGCGAAGGTAGGGTGTAGGCGCATCGTGATACTGCGTGGGTGGACTGGTCCGCGTAAAAAGGTGAACTCCCCAGTGTTGTCCAGTAGAAGTGGACATGGTACTGTGATTGTGGAAACACTAGAGTTGACAAACACTGAAAAAGCATTTGTGTCCTGCATGAAAGTGACACTGTTGTACATAAGTGTAGAAATAAACTATTTATATATTTATTTATGGTGAAGATATTGGTGAAGGGAACCGTGTCTTGTTTATCCCCCCTCTTATTTATGCTTTGCACTACTGCCAGCCCTTGAAAGCATACTACCGACTTGGGGTCGGATACTATAAGAGGTTACAACATCAAGAACCCGGTTGCTGGCCCATAGTGGCCGTAACAAAGACCAATCCTGGAGTATGCGGCCCCAGCATGGAGCCCGTACCATGTTAAGCACAAGACGAAGCTGGAAAAAGTTCAGTGGTATGTTACTAGGCTAGTCCCAGAACTAAGAGGCATGAGTTACGAGGAAAGGCTGCGGGAAATGCACCTCACGACACTGGAAGACAGAAGAGTAAGGGGAGACATGATCACTACCTACAAAATTCTCAGAGGAATTGACAGGATAGATAAAGATAAACTGTTTAACACGGATGGTACGCGAACAAGGGGACACAGGTGGAAACTGAGTACCCAAATGAGCCACAGGGACGTTAGAAAGAATTTTTTCAGTGTCAGAGTAGTTAACAAATGGAATGCATTAGGCAGTGATGTGGTGGAGGCTGACTCCATACAGTTTCAAAGGTAAATATGATAGAGCCCAGTAGGCTCAGGAATCTGTACATCAGTTGATTGGCGGTTGAGAGGCGGGACCAAAGAGCCAGAGCTCAACCCCCGCAAGCACAAACAGGCGAGTACAAATAGATGAGTACACATACACCCAGGAAACTCCGAGGTACCTATTTAGTGCTAGGTGAACAGAAGGGGATCAGGGTAAAAGAAACCCTGCCCATTTGTTTCCGCCGGGGATGGATCCCCTGGACCCTAGGACTACGAATCTCGAGTGCTGCCCACTCAGCCGTCAGGCCCCGATAGCCCGATATGTGTGTGTGTGTGGGGGGGGGGATGATGGGCCTCCCTTACCAGCGTACCCTCCTTATTAGTGGTACGTTGCTAGCGCTCCATGTATATATATATCTGCGTGGGGGCGTCATCCACCTCCGTGCTACCGTGGGTGTGATGTAGCGGCGTCATCCACCCCCATGCTACTGTGGGAGAGTCCCAGACCTGTGCGGCGGTGGTCGCCGGCTCTTCTATCGACCGTTTAAAGCTGGAGTCATGACCGGTCGCCACGATTTTTTGTTCACGATTTACAGTGGATTCACACTGGATTCACAGTGGATTCGCACCGGATTCACAGTGGATTCGCACCGGATTTACAGTCGATTCACACTGGATTCACAGTGGATTCGCACCGGATTCACAGTGGATTCGCGCCGGATTTACAGTCGATTCACACTGGATTCACAGTGGATTCGCACCGGATTCACAGTGGATTCGCACCGGATTCACAGTGGATTCGCACTGGATTTACAGTCGATTCACACTGGATTCTCGCTATATTCACGCTGGATTTACAGTGGATTCACGTTATATTTAGACAGGATTCACAGTGGATTCCACAGGATTTACAGTGGATTCACGTTATATTTAGACAGGATTCACAGTGGATTCCACAGGATTCACAGTGGATTCACGTTACGTTCACACAGGATTCATACTGTTGTAATCCAAGGCATGATTGTTCATCACCACACAGCAACCCGCGAGCTGGTATAATTCAGTACGCGAGGGCGAGTATACATGCCGCCGCCGCCGCCCACAGCTGGTGTGACGTGCGGCCGGCCGCCGTATATGGCCAGGCTGTCTTCATCTAACCGGAAACTGTCGCGACAGCCATATCATGGGAGAATATCTGGACATGGATCTCGTCTTACTTGATATTAGACCAGCTGTTTGGCAGTGTGTTTACGGGAGACTCTTAGGGGAGAGGTTGGGGGGGGGGGGTGTTGACAAGTGGTGGACGCGACTCCTGCGTCTTCGACCGGTCTTTCTTCCTCGGTATTATACCCCAGCACGATCCGGCAAGACTCGTGTGGGTCGAGTATTACCTCCGTGTTGTGGCTGCTGCTGCTGCTGCTTATGGAGCCAGGACTGTCCCCTCCTGTGTGGTGTTACTACTACTCGCGCAGTAGTAACTTCTCAAGAAGTAAGTGTTTGTATCGGGTGTTTTCTTGCTATTTTCAATTATTTATGGGTAAAGGCGAGACTTCTCCCCGCTGGCACCCACTGCTTCCATCAGAATTACATTTCACCTTTGTGAATGTACATTAATGACACTATGTAAAAGACACATCTAACACTTTATGTAGGGCATACGTAAATCTGTGTATCTATGTATTTACGTATGTAGGTTAGCTTAGCATTTTAAAAGCACCGAATCACCTTCTGTGGTTGAGTGTTCAATAAACCTTTGAACTATATGTTTAACACTTCTCTAACCCTGTCCATGGAGGACAGAAGAAAATGTATATATGCTGGTTAGCATTGTAAATGTGTGGCCACGTCTGTGGTAGAAAATAATAATAATAAAAAAAAAACTGCTTCCCACGGTTTCTGGAGGCTATGGGGGGTGGGGGAAGGGAAGGTGGGGGATGTAAAGGTGGGTGAGGAAGAAGTAGGTTGGGACGGGAGACATCTCCCGTCACGCAGGGTGCAGTCGTACCTCCACAGATCTCCAGTATCATCTATTGATACTGGTAATGGCTCAAAAGGGCCACCACTTACGGGCTATTCATGCCCGTGCCACCTTTTGGGTGGCTTAATCTTCATCAATCAATCGGTTCCCCATTACGGGCTCACCATAGCCCGTGCTATATGGACACTTCGATCCGAGTAGCTAAATCTAAAATAACAACGAGGTTCCCCACAGAGGTCACGACCTCTCCGTAGGGTGTAGTCGCACCTCCACAGATCTCCAGTATCAGCTCTTGATACTGGAGATCTGTGGAGGTGCGACTGCACCCTGCGTGACGGGAGATGTCTCCCCCGTGAATGTGTTAAGATGAAGTATGCCAACGGCCATACCACGTTGAGAACACCGCTTCTCGTCCGATCAGCGAAGTTAAGCAACGTTGGGTTTGGTTAGTACTTGGATGGGTGGGGAACCGCTTGACCCACCAGCTATATATGACCGTCTCTTCTTGGTGATACCTCAGACCATCTGGTCACCACTTGGTCCGGGAGACATCTCCCGTCACGCAGGGTGCAGTCGCACCTCCACAGATCTCCAATATCAGCTCTTGATACTGGTAATGGCTCAAAAGGGCCACCACTTACGGGCTATTCATGCCCGTGCCACCTCTTGGGTGGCTTAAACTTCATCAATCAATCTGGTGATACCTTACGGGCTGTTCATGCCCGTGCCACCTTTTTGGGGTGGCTTAATCTTCATCAATCAATCGATCATCTCGAGGCTTCTTCTATAGAAGGCTTACAATAAGTTGAGACGGGTGTTGAAGGCTTCACGCTGTCTCGACTCTCCTCCTCACCGGGTCATGTCCACCTATACTTCACTCACTGTTCCTATTTTGAGTAGCCTAGTTGTCTCCCAGTTTTCTTCCCCACCACCTCAAACACGGGTATTGAAGGGGACCTCCGTCCCCTCAACAGGGGGTGTTGAGGGGACCTCCGTCCCCTCAACAGGGGGTGTTGAGGGGACCTTCCTCCCCTCAACAGGGGGTGTTGAGGGGGGCCTTCCTCCCCTAAAAATTGGGTGTTGAGGGGACCATGCTTGTTCTATTCATCAACTGCGATGAACATTATCATTTCCTGTTTTTCCACCTTGTCATTATAACATGATTTACCACTACCTACAACCCTTTACATTACACTCAAATACAGAGTGTATTTGACTACAGATATTGAGTATGGTTGCTGGCAGTATGATTACTGCTGGCAGTATGATTACTGATGATAGTATGGTTGCTGGCAGTATGATTACTGCTGGTAGTATGGTTGCTGGCAGTAGAATGTGATGGTTTCCGAGTCCGTGTTGTCTGATCAATGTTTCTTCTTCCTCCTCCGTCATCTCCACTTCTCAATAATAAAAACAATAAATGAAATATTTAACTTTCTTATCTCGAGCAGGAAAATAAAACTGAAATTTGCCGCTTGTGTAGAATATTTTTGTCTGGCGCGGAGGAATTAATTTCACGGTGGCGGTTATTGTGTGGGGTGAGGGGGGTGGGGGGAGGGACAGCCCTGAAGCCTACTCTACATTAAATATTTTCTATATATACACCGATGAATTGCTCTCGTGTGTGTGTGTGTGTGGGGGTGTATAGAGTGTTCAGTGCCGGGTTTGTTTACAGTGCCAGAGCCCTCTATATGGTGCCTTGTTCTGGGAAGCTTCTTTTTGTTTTTTGTTTTGGTGTCTTATGTTCTAGATAGATGTTGCAGCTCGTCCTGGCGTTCCTGCCTGTTGTGCGCTCTTGTGTTGAGCGGTTGTGTTCCAGGGTGTTGGAGGGTGGTGGTGTTCTTGCCTCTCCAGCATTTGTCTATCAGGTATAGCGCTCTGTCTGCTACCCTTGTTGTATTTCTTGCGTTATGATTGAATTATCCTAACGTTCAAGTTCTTCGTCGAATCTGTCTGTAAAGTTGTGGCTGGCTGGAGGAGGCTTCCACAACTGCTTCTTTCTCTACATTCCATTTGTGGATCACCCGTAAAAGAAACGATTTATTCCTTGCATTTTACTCGAGTCATTTGCATTTCCAGCTTCCACTTGTGTTCCCCTTGTTCTACTCTCTATTCCCTCCCTCTCCCCTCAGTATCTTGTATGTTGTCATCATGTCCCACTCTTTCATCTAGTGGTGTTAGCTCAAGCGTTCCCGGCGGGTGTGGGGGGGGGGGCATGATGAGCCATAGCCATATCTTCCAGCACATATTTGGCAATTGTGTTTATATCTGTTGACCAGACCACACACTAGAAATTGAAGGGACGACGACGTTTCGGTCCGTCCTGGACCATTCTCAAGTCGTGTTTATATCTATTTATTAATTCAGTATTTATGCTGGTTTGGTGGTGTTGTGGTGGCTGGGTGATGGAGTCTTGACAGAAGGGGAATCTGGGGTTGGGGAGGGGGGGGCCAATGGCCGGAGGGCGGGAGGGGGGGGGGCAGAGATTGTGAGGTGGGGAGTAAGGGGGGGAAAGGTTATTAGGTACGGAGACTTGGAGGAGGGGGGGGGGGAGTATTGGTGTTGCTGATGGCTGTGGTACCCCTACCGGGGAGGGGTGTAGTGATGGTGGGGGGGGGGGGGGAAGGACAGGTGTAGTGATGGTGGGGGGGGGGGGGAAGGACAGGTGTAGTGATGGTGTGGGGGGGGACAGGTGAAGTGATGGAGTGGGGGGGGGGACAGGTGTAGTGATTGGGGGAGGGGAGGGGGGGGGCGTGGCTGTCGCGCCACGACACGCTTCCCGTCACAACATTGCCAAGGTAGACGACTCTGAGAGGTCATGCGTTAACCCCCCCCCCCCACACCCTATATACACAAAAGACTAGCATTATTGCATTTGTGAGAGATGGAGCTGCGACTCTTGGGCCCCGCCTCTTGACTGATTACGTGAGACTTTAAACCCCCGACTGTTACTCTTCCTGTTCAACCCTCTTGCCCCACACCCACTGCGACCCACACCCACAGCCCCACATAAGCTGGAGAAACAGGCAGGAGTAACTGGTAGGGCGCTCCAGTGGATAAGGGAGTACCTCAGCAATAGGAAGCAGAGTAACAGTGAGGTGTGAGACCTCAGATTGGCGTGAAGTAACCAGTGGAGTCCCACGGGGCTCTGTACTCGGACCTATCCTGGTTTTGATATACGTAAATGATCTCCCAGAGGGTATAGACTCATTCCTCTCAATGTTTGCTGACGACGTCAAAATTATGGGAAGGATTAAGACAGAGGAGGACAGCTTGAGGCTTCAACAAGACCTGGACAAGCTGCAGGAATGGTCGAACAAATGGTTGTTAGAGTTTAACCCAAGCAAATGTAATGTAATGAAGATAGGTGTAGGGAACAGGAGACCAGATACAAGGTATCATTTGGGAGATGAAATATTTAAAGAGTCAGAGAGAGAGAGGGAGAGAGAAAAGACCTGGGGGTTGATATCACGCCAGATCTGTCCCCTGAAGCTCATATCAAGAGGATAACATCAGCGGCATATGCCAGGTTGACTAACATAAGAACGGCCTTTAGAAACTTGTGTAAGGAATCTTTCAGAACATTATATACCACATATGTCAGACCCATCCTGGAGTATGCGGCTCCAGCATGGAATCCATATCTAGTCAAGCATAAGACTAAATTGGAAAAAGGTTCAAATGTTTGCCACCAGACGAGTACCGAAACTGAGGGGTATGAGCTACGAGGAGATACTACGGGAATTAAACCTCACGTCACTGGGAGACAGAAGAGTTAGAGGGGACATGATCACCACATACAAGATTCTCAGAGGAATTGATAGGGTAGATAAAGACACTTTTTAACACAAGGGGAACACGCACTAGGGGACACAGGTGGAAATTGAGTGCCCAAATGAGCCATAGAGACGTTAGAAAGAATTTGTTCAATGTCAGAGTAGTAGACAAATGGAATGCATTAGGAAGTGATGTGGTGGAGGCTGACTCCATACACAGCTTTAAGTGTAGATATGATAGAGCCCAGTAGGCTCAGGAACCTGTACATTAGTTGATTGACCGTTGAGAGGCGGGACCAAGGAGCCAGAGCTCAACCCCCCGCTAGTACAACTAGGTAAGTACGACTCACAGCCCAACACCCACAACCCCAACACCCACGGCCCCACACTCAGCGCAGTACCCACAGCCCAGCACCCACACACCCACACCCCAACACCCACACACCCACAGCCAATGCTGGTGATCGTTATACTCTCCTCACCAACTTGGACTCGGCAAAACTTCCTAAAGCAGCAAAAACTTTAACAAATAAGCGGAAAAAAACTTCCAAAATCAACAAAGGCCCCCCCACAAAGGCCGCGAAAAACACTCGAGCCTGGCAAGACCGACCACACCCTTGCCACGTGGAGGCGGTGGACCACTACCAAAACAAACAGGACGCCGCCTGACCAAACTATTGCATGGCGTAATATTAAAGTTACTAGCCTGAAATTAGAATACCAACTGGCATTTAA